CTATTAAAATCAAGTGTTTTTAAGGGATTTTTTGCTGATTTATTAGTGTGTAACCCCCTTAACGGTATTCATGGTATTCGTGAATACAAACCCTAGTTGTGTATGTGTTTGTTGATCAAATAACAAAAAAATTTCTTTTTTTTTAAAAAAAAAAGAAAAATGCCTCCAAAAAGAGGTAGCCAAAAAGATAATGCTGGTGTAATAAATGGGTAAGTGTTTATTAAAAGAATGGTGGTGGTTATCACCCACCACTCATCGTCACTCTAGTTATTGAATTAGACTTATTAAACTTTGACTTTAATTTTTAGGAAATTAGTTACTTGTGATGATCTGAAAAGAAAAAGAAACACAGAAAAAGAGAAGGATAAAATTAAAACTATTTCAGTTGGGTAAGTGTTATATTTTTTAAAGGTGGTGGTGGTTGCATGCAACTGCTGCTGCTACTCTAGTTAAATTTTTTTTTCCAATCTATTGATTTATGATTTTAATAGGGAAGAAGCACAATTAAAGGCCTCATCGATTTTAAAAAATGAATTATTGGCTGAAGATGATTGTCAGAACCCTGGGAATAAAATTGATGTCATGGTTGATACATTGGTGGTTCCATTAGAAATAAAGACTAGTGCTGTAAATTATGATGATAGTAGTAATTGTATTTACAGCATATAAAAAGTGGTTGCAAATACTTTTGCAACCACTTTTGCAACCATACTTTTTCCTTTTTTGGATTATGGCACTAGTCTTTAATTAGAAATCTCAATCATTGAGGTATCAAGATCTCCTTTGGATCCAAATCACACTCACTATGTTGGAGATCAAAAAAAAATAGCAAAAATGTTAAAAATTATGCTGAATTATATAATCAAGAGGTACCCTGGTAATCTTGACAAACTAAGAGGGATAAAGCTATATGGAACACAAATATATAGTAAGATTTGCAACTTGTAAATTTATCCCATCTTTTGTCAGAATACTAAAATAATTGATTTTATTTCCTATTGTATATAGATAACAAATTTTATGTATATTCATTAAGCATGCCTTTTCATGCGATATACTATTACAAATTAGAATATGAATTCGAATGCCCAACAAATATAAGAACATTATCACGTGAATTACCTGTATTTATACAAAAATTTTTTGTGATAAAGGTAAGTAGGTCATTGAGTTAACAAATGAGATTTTTTGAATTTTAAATTTGAATTAAAATTGGCATTAAATGAAAATAGGATTTAATCAAGTCTAGTATGACAAGCGTTTTAGCATATATTGATTACGAAGAAGACAGAAGAATAAGTATTGATCCAATTAGAGATTGATAAGAAATAGATATTTTTAAGTTCATTGATTAATTGCGGGTTGTATCATTAACAGATATTATTTCACTATCACATCTAAAGTGTTAATTATTGGTATAAATAAGCATATTCGAAAAGTGATAAAAACAGATATCTAATTACAAAATAATTGGTTCTATGCAATACTTTTGCTTCTTTTCCTTTACTTTCATACACTGTTTCATTTATTATTAGAATAAATATTAAATATAAAAAAATTAAAATCTATTAATTATTAAAGCGAAATAATTTTTTATATAATTCATAAAATACTGTGCACGAAAAAGTTTTTGGAATAAAATGTATTTCAAATAAACACAATTTTCTTTCCAATTGATCAATGTCATAAAACTGTAACTACTAATGGCATTGTACAGTCAAACCTCAATAGACCAAACAACTATAAACTGATTTTCACTTTATAATACAAAAAATCATATTTAATAAAAATTGTTTCATTAAGTCGAATTTTATTAATTATAATTTTTACTTGATAAACCGAACCTAATGTTTGATACAATGTAATAAAAATGCAATTTTCTAAGCCGAATATTTGTGAAAACCAGTTTGATGATCATAAATTGCTTTTAAAATTCGTTTTACTCCACACTGCCAATCACACAAACCTTTCACAAATAAAATTTATTACTTTATATGTTGTAAAAAATCGTTCTTCATAAACCGAATCTTGATAAGCTGATCCTATTTTTGTGATTCCCAAAAGTTCAGCTTATCGAGACTTGACTGTACTTTGCATGAATTAACTCCTATTCCACTTTCTACAATATATGATTATACTAAAAAACTTGGTAATGGGATTTCTTTAGATCCTGAGCAATGTTCTGGGAGACCCAGAAAACTTTCACCTAAACAGGAAGAGAAAGAAAGAGACAAGAAAAAAAAGGAGACCCAAACACAAGAAGCACATAAGTATTCTCATTTTGTGGCAAATTGTTCAATCACCTCAGCAGCAAGAGCGCACTTCCACAGGGTGTTGGTATAATTGATACCTTTTACTATATATATATAAATTGATAAAATTTTAGTATTATTTATATTAATTGATTCAGTAATATTACATCAAATAGAAAAAGATGAATATTTACATTTCTTTTACAAAAAGCTTTTTCCTTACAAAATATTTTTTCATTGGTTAAACCGCGAATCAGATATTATTATCAATTTGTAAATAACAATGATAATGATAATAGAATGGACAATTAGTTGCTCAAATTGAAGTTAAAAAATGACCTTGATCGAAAATAAGAAAGATTGGGAAATATTTTTCTCTTATAAATTGAAATTCATTCCAACTGTTAAAGAAATTTTCCTTTAGATAAAGTTAAAGAAAATATCCCGACTTTCGATATCTTATTGTAACAATGATTTTTTTTTTCAAAATATAATTACGTATTTTATTATTGTAATTGTAATGGTAATAGGGTCCTGCGACCTAACATTCGCTTTATCCGGTCTTATGGCAACTAGTTTTTGTTGTCAAAATCATTTTGAAGAGGCGAAAGTCAAACTAAAGTTAAAAGTTATATGTCAAAACTAAATCAAAAGT